AAGATAAAGGAAGAGGAAGCTATTTCAGCATTTAATGTTTACTGAATGAACTTAATCAGTAAAACGTGAGAAGAGGATCCAGTTGTTAAAAGACTAACTTCCTGAGACATCATCCCGTCATGACACGTGAACTCACTCATCGTGGTTTTTATGAGGTTCCCTGTCTCTTTCCCGGTGTTCTGACGATCTGTGCTACTTTGTTAGATTTCCCTACAGTAGTACGGATAGATAACTATATCTGTTGGTGCTACCTGTCTAAAATTTCACATGGAAAACATTTAAAACTCTTTACATTAGAGCAGTAAACTGTCACGTATTGCTGGTTCAATACAAACAAGTTTAAGACAAAATGGGAAGATCTCTGAATTAAAAGCTCCTGTTCCTTCAATTTTCCACAGGTAAATCTGTAAATGTAATCATCAAAAGCCAAATAACAAACTCATTTGTTATTTTAAAACTCAAAATGCACATTCCACTCCACGCTGACCCAGAAAAAGAGCTGTTGAATGTAGTTATCTGCAACTATGAGCTGATCTCATTCATGAGCCACATTGGAGCCGAAAGAGCTGAATCTTTTTAGTGATCCGAGCCAAAAGAGCCCTGTTCTCTCAAAAGAGCCAGAATTCCCACGCTGCCGTGAGCCCGTCCCACCTCCCTGAGCTCTGACAGGTGGTCAGTCCCACAGTAACCTGATTCAGAAAACCTCACCTGCACACAGAGACCCCACCCTCAGGAGTAAAAATGGAAACTAATCTTAGAGTTTTCTATTTGCAGAGAAAACACTGGCTAAGACAAAAACAAACACATGAAGATTGATTTATACTGACTTACATTGTTATGGAGAATTAGCTTTCTCTGATATATATATATTTATGTTTTTCTAGTTTACAGTTGCAGAAATGCAAGGTAGGTGTCTGTGCATATGACATGAATTTTTAACTTTTGATATCACTGTCTTTAAATAAAGGTACATTGTGGATTGTTATACACAAAACAACGGTTTCTCTATTTTTCCACATGTAGCATTGTTTAATGTGCTGTCCTTGATTAAAAAAAATGAATTGGAATGAACTCAACCCCATTCTGTGTCCACATTTGAAATGAATCAAGCACAAAGCTGCTTCTCGTCAGATTTTCCTACCATAGCGCAGATAGGTAGCAATGAAGATAAGTCTGACTTTAGCGATGTCTGTCGGTCGGTGCTAGTGAGCAGGTAGGATGTATTGATAATCTGCTGAGCAAGCAGTATGTGACGTAGAATCGATATGCGCATGAGCACTACTACAAGGTAGGATGGATTAATGGGTAGCACAGATAGTTAGAACACCTGTTCATATGAACACAGAGAAACGTTGATGAGTTTGTTGCAGCGGTAGACTGTTTATTGCTGCCCTCTGCTGTAACTGAAGAGAAACTGCAAAAGCTGCAAATGTCTGATCATGATTAGATGACATAATGAAGGTGAACAATAAACCTCATTATCACTTACTTCTTCTCATTCTGCTCAAACTGCTGAGCAAACTTGTGGTTGTGACACAGGAAGAAGTAGGATTGAAACTAAACAAGCCTGACCAGCGCTCCCTCAGGCACCATTAGAGGACATTAAGTGACTGTACTAGTAAATACATAGTCTTATTGAAGCAATAAGCAAATTTGGTTTAAATAGGTTTAAGACTTACTGGACCATACAGATACCTCGTTACACACCTTTGCATGGGACATCTGCAGAAACTCGGCATAAAACAATCCTTTGAGTTTGATGTTAAAAGTGACAGTGGTTTACTGGATCTGATTATTTTTAAGATGATAAGGTAAACATATATTACATTTCTCTTTTGTGAATGGGTTTTGCAGTTGGTTGTTTATTGGTAGTACATTTATATTGTTCTTTGAATGTTTTGTTTGACCTTCTATGATACTTACTTTCCAGTAGTTAATCCAATTTGTACAATTGATCTGACATCAGTACAGCCCTGCATGATGCTATTACCATAACCATGTTCAGCAGTTGTTGTAATGTTCTGAAAACATTAATCTTCTACAAACGTACTTCTTCTCACTGTGGCCAAACAGACGCATCTCTGACTGATCAGAGTATAACACTGGTACTTTGTTAAGGTGTTAGATCCAAATGAAGACCAGAGGATATCTGATGTTGGTAATGAGAGAGTTTATTGTACACTGACTTTAAAAACTCTAAGGAAATAACTTATGGAATAAAGCAACTCCTTTATGCCAGTGCAGGGAAACGGGGATAAAGGATATCGGCAGTAGAAAGTGGTCAGGAAGTGAACAGATGTTTAACTAGTGGGAGAGTTGATCTTATTGTATTTCACCAGTCATTTTTCCCCTTCAACTTCCTTTACCAGCTACATTATCACATCACTTCAAGAATGAGGGAGTCATGGGTTAAAATAGTTTTGGTTCAGTTTGTGGTTTTTCATATGTTTTGGTTTCTACTTTGAGTTGCAGTTCCTCTTTTATTTTGGTAATCTGGTTTCTCTTGTGTGTTGTTTTATTTGCTTCCTGTTTTGCGTGGAAAACATTTCCATGAGTTACATTCTGACTTTTGGTCCAACACTTGCAGATATTTTTTTCTTTCAGTTTAATTGTTGTGTTCTCCTCGTGTTTTGCCATTTAATGTCCTTCAGGTAAGGCAGACTTTGATTTTACAGGTCAGGAAATGATTACAAAAAATAACATGTCACTAACAAATCAGTTTTTTAAAAGCTTCGCTCTTTCTATACCGTTCACTCTTTATTTAAGAATTCATTTTTTAATTTTAGCCTTGAATTGATGGACTCTCCAGTATTTCTTAGGCCCTGGGTTGGATTTTACCTAAGCAGCAGCCCTGCGTCCCAAAACATCATTTCACGCATTTCATTTATATTTCTGCATGTAGGATGATCATAGTTTCATGGACAAAGAGATTCCTTTGTCCTAGGAACAAAGAATCTTTTATTCCACAATAAATATGCAATAAATATTTTATATAGTGTAATAACAGAATATAAAATGACTTTACATGCTGTGTTAAGCAATGTCAGCAGTAATCAGTTTATTACTTTGTACATTAACACAATTCTACGAGTTAATGTGTGTACATGTGGTAATTTATGACCACATAAAGTACCCAGCTGTATTAGAAACAGACCACTGAATTAAAATTAAGTCATTGACAAAACAAATATACAGAAGTTCCAAATGCTTCAAATAAAAGTGTCATTTTAAGACTAAAAGATAATACTAATCTCATAAAATGGGGATATCCAGACATAGTGAATTGTAATGCTGAAATGCTTCTGCTTGCAGGATAATGCTTCACACGATGAACTCCTGCAACACTCTGAGATCATGAGGCCATTTTACGATGACCCAAGAGCCATGAGGAAGAGCAAATGAGGAAGTGGCTAAACAGTTTCAACATTTCTCAATAACAGCATAAAAATGGAGAATAAATAATAAAAAAGGTTAACTTGATGCTGAGAAAGGGGTTATTTGAAGAGTGCTGATTTTTCTTCTCATTGAAGCAGATTGGAAATAAAACAAAATAAAATTAACTTTGCTGCGCCCTGCTGGTTGAAAGTTGAATCGCATATCTGCCCTTCAGTGAACATTTCTGCTGTTCTTTGGAAATCTGATAAGCCTGCAAGATAATTATTCTGTAACACTATTTTATGTAATTTTTTATCATTAATTCGTTTTTTTAACTGCTATGCATGAAATAATTCTAATATACTCACAATTCTGCAACAGACTCATTTTGGAGTTTCATCCATCCATTCCAGTTGTCATTTTAGTTCAGTTAGTTTTCTAGAACAGGCTCTGTCATATTGTTTTAATATGTAAATGTTTTACCACACTAAATGAATGAATTTCATCAGAAGTCTACCTTCTTCCTCAATCTAATTCTTCCTTTTCACAATGTTTTTAGAAGTCAGAGATGTTCCTGTTAACCAAAACAGCAGCAGAGACTTTAATATTATTTAATTGCTTTGAGTCATGACCTACTGCAACATTCGTCATGAGTTCATAATCCCCTGCTGTTGCAATTACCCAAGTACCCTGAGGAAGCAGCAAGGAGGAAGCTGCAGTTTCAACATCACTAGGAACCAGCAAAAAAACAAAAAGTGGATACATAGTAAAACATTTTTATATTTGACGGTAATAAACAAACATTTGAAGAGAGTTAATTTTTAAAGTAAAATTCAGAATTTTCTTTTCCATTAACCGCATTGGAAAGTGGACAAAATAAAAGCTTTGCTGCTCTCTGCTGGTTGAAAGGTGAATGACAGCGCTGCCATGATGTGGAAATCTTTGCTGTTTTATTTATAAATCTGCTAAACTTGTGTGAAACTTGTTCTGTAGCACTGTTTTACCTAGTTATACCATTGTTTGTCATGTTTAAACTATTTTATAGGTCACTCTATAGTAAGTTTACATCATTTCCAGATACAATGTTTTGCCTTTGGCATCTTTTTTTTTTTTAACAGGAAACATTTTATTAGTGTTGTACTCTTTGTCCTCAGTTTATATCTTTCCTTTACTTCCCTGTTCTCTTCTTTCCTATAGGAGGTTATTAAATCCACACGTGACTGCAGTTTGGACAATGTGTCTGCTAAAGTCAGTTTTTACAACTGTTCTTATCTTAATAATGTTGCATTTCTCATATGATGGAAACCTAATTTACATGTACACAGAAAACAGGAAATTAAATGAGACAAATTTGTGAACAAACATCAAAACAGTCAAGATTCGGTTTTGGGGGTTTAATTGAAACATTGAAAAATGGATTCTGCTAAAACAACACTTGGCTTTTGATTTGGAAACAGCTGTTAAGAACTCTAACATCTATTTAACCAAATTATATTTGTGTCAAGAACATTTAGTTCAGAGTGAGATGTTCAAGGAAAAGAGAAGCAGTCTGAAAGGTGAAGTGGCAGATATGGTATATGAGAGAAGTGACTCTGCATTGTTTGAATTAGAGAGAGAGAGAGACACAGAGAGAGAGGGGAGGCAGAGAGAGAGAGAGAGAAAGAGGCAAACAAGATGTTTTTAGCAATAAAACCACTTAAAGGAACAGTGACATTGAGGATCCCGTACATGGGTTTCATTTCTGCCTGTATTTCCCCCTGAAGCAGTTGACACAGCAGTCACAGCTGTTTAAATTCTGCAGGTAAGATTTTTTCATCAGATTCAATTTCTTTTACATGTATATTTTGAGACATTCTCATTTCTGCTTGATGATACTACAATTTTTACAAGATTTATTAAGATTACTCCTTGACATTTTTTTGTTGAGCTGATCCTTTGAGTTTTGTACCAAAGTGGTTCTTGGTTTTTATTTATGTGTTTGTGCTTCGCTTGGAGGAGCATAAAACATGTCAACAAGTCAAACTAACTCATCAACTTTGCAATGATACAAATATATTTCTTAAAAGCTTTCGATTGTAGACTTGTTTCTTTTCAAGTAATTTGATTGTAGTCATTTTGAGGGTGGCTGTGTAGTTTGTATAAACTCTAAGAAGTCAGCTCTTCTTTGTCCAAATTTAGAGGATGTAGTAAAAACGAAACAGGAAAAATAGAAATAAACATTTGGAAAACACTGGTCACTTGGCCTGACGGAGCCTCAGAGCAATGGCTCATTGGTGCATTTGTCATAATAAACTGATCTGTAAAAGAGCCTTTAAAGCTAAGTGATTCCAATTTCTAAGTAATGCAAATTTACGTGAAACATCTGCATCTTCCTTGATGTGACATAAATTGGCTTTACTGGCTCATCAACGATACTAACTGGTTTTGCACTGAACTTTTTAACAAGATTTGCCTCACAGACTTTTTCGATAAAATATTTAACCAAATGACAGTTTTTAAGCTTTGTCTGTGACACTTGTGTGCCAAACCCTTGTAGAGGAGTCTGGTTTAAGTCTTTTGATTAAATAAATGTTATTTTCTAATGTGAATGTATCAAGGAAACATTTGCTGTGACAGACCACAACAGGGCAGAACCAACTTTGAGGTTTGATCTTGTCAAAGAAGAGAAAATCTTCTTCTTATTGCAATATAAGTCCATTGATTAGCTTGAAATGATACAGTAGTAGTGAACTGCCAGAGGTTTAACGTAAGGTTAGGTTAGCCCAAACTGATAATGTGCATTTCAGAATTATAAAACAAGACCTTTTTCAGTTAACAGTTTAACCACACATTGGTTCTGAACCAATGTGTGGTTGATAAAGCCTTGAAAGTTGGTGCTGCTAATTTCAACAGGTGTTTTATGGATTATTTACAACCTTTTGTGTGTATAAAATCAAGGTTATAACACACTGTGGTGCCCTTTCCTTTAGAAACGTACTCTACCAAAAGTAGAGTGTTGCTACAAAAAGGCATTTTTGTTAAGAGAAGAGGGCAGACCATTATGACACTTATAAATGTAGGTCTTTCCTAAAGAGAAGTTGTAAAGAAGGTCAAAGTGTCAGTGAAGACAATTTACTTCACCATCAAATCGTACTGAGAAACTAGGGCAAACACTGACAGGAAATCTAGCAGGACCAAAGCCACAACCCAGTCAGAGGACAGGTTTCTGAGAATTAATAGCTTTTGTGGTATGCAATTCACAGGTTATTTTTAACTTGTTTCTGTTTCCTCAGTGAAGAGAAGAGTTTGAGCTGCAGGTTTTACTGGACAAGTTCCAACAAGAAAGCTATTGCTAAAAATTCAGAATAAGACAAAGAGGCTTGTCTGGTTCATGAAACACTGATACCAGACTCCTGAAGATGGGAAGAAGGTATTATGAAGTGATAAATCAAAATCAGAAATATTCAAGAATGGATGGCTCCATGGTGTGTGGCCTCATCTGTCATGCATGGAGAAGAAAGTGTGATGGTTTGGGGATCTTTTACTCTTTTACTTTTATTATGTCTCAGTAAAAGATGAATTCTTTGACTTGTACAGAGGCACCCTGAACCAAAATGGCTACCACAGCATTCTGCAGAAAGACCCGAAACACAAGTCCAAGAGACTTACAATTTGGTTAAACAGGTAGAGCAAGATAGGAATTACTACTACTACTGAATTTTAGCGATGATGATTAACTTTAATGTCATGCTATGAAGAGAGTTGATGACCTTTGAGTGATTCATTTCAAGAAATGGTACCAAAGCTTTCCTTTGACACTTGACGTATTAGTGCAGTGTAAGGTTCTCATTGCATGACAACTTCTCTTTCTAATATGTGTTCCAGATCTTACAAGCTTCCTGTTGAGCTTCTGCAGCTTTCTTATCAGATTCAACAAAAATGTCTGTTTACGACCCTGAAGCTCTCAAAGATCCCCACATTTCATTGAAACAGACTGTTCTGAAAAAAAAAAACGCATATCTGATGATGATCGGCCCTGTCAGCTGAAACAAAACATGACAATGTCATTGGGTTATACTCTTATTACAATCATCTCTCCTGTATTCAGATATTTAAGTCAGCTATATCTGTCACATTTAATGTATTTACATTATGCCATTTTTTACATGTTATCACCTTCGACTCATGCTGATGCATATGATATAGCAGATATAGTAATAAAGTGGCCAGACAAGCGAAATGCCCAAGTGCTGAATACAGCTCTGATATAGGATCATTCTTCCAGTCACACTGAATCAATTATTGAATCGATCCTGGATTTTCTGTAAATTAATATTAAATGTAAGTAAAAGTGGTGGTTTTTCTGTTATCTCTTGCGGTTCTTAGTGTTTTAAACATTGTTTGATGTACATTTCCTTTATAGCTACTATTAGAATAACTTTTTTACTTTTTTTTATCTATGTTTACCAACTTATTTCCGTTCCCTTCCCATAAAGGAGAGCAGTTATCTATAAATACTGATATAATCTGTCCTGCATGTGAGGATCAGTGTAACAGCTGCATGTTGCACTTCAAAAATATAAATGTTAACTGAAACAAAAAAATCTGTATTTTCTCTTCTTTCTTATGCACTTCTTGTTACTGTGCACTATTTTTATTTTATATTTGTATCATGTTCGAATAAAATTTCATTTCATTTAATTTCACTCTTCCAGTCTTGTCACAGATCTGGACCAACGTCATTTTTCTGTGATGTGACATAATGAAGTCACATCGCATGTGAGTCCTGTCTGCTCATGACCCCATTAACTGCTCTGTGCCCAGATTGTGTTTTCTTATCTGAGGCTAAAGGAAACTGTACAGTTATTGCAGTTTCATGCTAATTTCCTCTTCTGAGTAAAGATGCTTTGCTTCTGCACACTATATAGATCCAACCAATGATGGTAACATATTTTTTCATCTGACAAACTTATTGCAGATAAAATCAGTTTGTTTCCGGTTATTTCCTGCATGTAAGAATATCACTTTTTTATCTTTACAAACACTTTTGTTGGCTCACTGACAGAGACATGTTCAAAATGTTCCCTTTAATGGTCCTACGTGATTGTTTATTTATTGAGACATTTTCCCAGGGTTGCATGAGGTCAGCATTCTCAGTTAGATTGACCAACATGGTTCCTTCTGTACATTCTGTGCTGCCTTATGTAAATCAAATAATTTGTATTGCAAATGATTTTCCAATAACAATTGTTACTTTCAATATGTGCTTAAAGCCGGGATTGTTTTAACAGAGTTTTCTGTAAATCTATTGAATTTTGACATCCTTTATCTGGTAGATCTACATGAGTTGCTCTCTCTGTTTTCTGTAAATCAGAGCTGATTCACAGAAAAATCCTGATCAACAAAATAATTATCTTCCATTTAAACACCAGTACATATTTCAGAATTTTTTTTTTTAGGTTTGACAAACGTATTTTATCAAATTGTGATTTGATTCCCGGTTCCTCTTTCTGTTCTTCAATGCTAACTGCTGAAAAGAAAATTAAATATTCTTATATGACTTATTTTTCAGCTGCACAATGTCCAACTCCTCTCTACCTACCTTGACTGTCAAGACCTCCAAGAATGACCACACAAACGTGGATGTTGAAGCCGTCATGGAAAATGTGGGCATTGTCCTCTTCACAATGACCGTCGTGTTTGGGATCACAGGAAACTCTGTGGTGATCTGGGTGGCTGGATTCAAACTCAAGGTAGATGAACAGTTTCTGACGTTCAATGTTCTTGTGTTTGCCTCTCTGCTCCTCTTATCTGGAACAAACTTCCAAGAATGTTGAAACACTGAGTTAATTTAAATCAAGGCAAAAAAACCCCACCTGCTTTGAGCTGCCGTTAATTAGTAGTAACTGGAACACTGATCAACATCTCTGATGTGTATTTGCTTGATGATTTTGATGACAGTATTTGACAAAATGTAATGTTTATTGCTTGTTTCATAATTGGTGAATATATGATGTTTTTAGTATGTTACAGCCTTGTTGCTGAATTGCGCAAATAAACATGACTTGACTTCTCTGTAAATTCAGAAAGGCTTGCACGCTTGTAAATAATTAGAAATATAAGTTTAAAAAGTTTTAACTTATATACACTATATACCATCCACCATATACCACCCATCTGTTTCATCAGATGGATAGTTTATAAAATATGATCCATCTGGCAAAATAAAGATTGTATTTCTTGATGAAAGATATTCAATAATTAGATGAGAAAATGGTTAAATTTGTATTTAGGAGTTGAATTGTTAACCACTTAATGTTTTTATTCACTTTGATTGCAGCCAAAGGTTACCAACGTGTGGCTGGTGAACCTGGCGATAGCTGACCTCATCTTCTCCATCACAAGAGTTTTGTCCCTGATCAAGAAGCTCTTCTTCGACCACTGGCCCTTCGGAGAATTTCTCTGCAAGTTCAACGGCTTCTTTAAATACGCCAACATGTTCTGCTCCGTCTTCCTGTTGGCTGTGATCAGTTTGGACAGGATGCTCTGTGTGTGGAAGCCCGTCTTTACAAAGCGACGGCGTACCCTGTGTGCTGCCAGAGTGGTGGCACTTTGTGTCTGGATCACAGCCATCCTCTTCAGTAGTCCCTACTTCATCTATCGCCAAGTCTACCTGGGAAAAAACAACATGAGCAAATGTTCTTTGGAGGTGAAGGAGTCGAAGGGGGGAGACAACACCACCAAATTTGCTCTGTATTTAAACAGGTTCCTGTGTGGCTTCGTTTTCCCCTTCATGGTCATCCTTATCTGTTACATCATGGCTGCCATCGGCATCCGACGCACTCGCCTTGCAGGAAAGACACGCCCCCTGCGTATCCTGGCATCGCTGGTCATTGCGTTCTTCTTTTGCTGGGGTCCTTACCACTGTCTGCTCCTTGTAAAGATGGTGGATAAAAAGAATGCAGTGCTGAAAATCTGGCAGCCTTTGGCCAATGGCTTTGCCTACTTTAACAGCTGCGTGAACCCGCTGCTGTACTTCTTCATGGGACTGGAGGTGAGGGGCCAATTCAGACAGAGTCTGATGGGCATTTACAGGAAAGCTTTGGCTGATGATATTGAAGGACAGGCTTCTCAGTCTAACGACCGCTCTCTGGATGAAAGCTGCACGTCAAAGTACAGCACTGCTGTGGCGGCAGAAAGGACTCGAGTTTAAATCCATCCAGTTGGTCACCAGGCGTTTGCTCCCAGAAGATGATTCATGTAATTTAGAGGTGGATTATATAATAGTTATGAAAAATAGTCAACATGTTTCAATATTTCACTGAAAGCTGCAGGTTTTCTCAGTTTTTTTTTTTCTTGTGAACCAGTTGACATGATGAGCATTTATCTTTTACAAATAGTTGATATAAAAATTAGTTATCTTTCTGCACATGGTACTTTTGGCACAACTTGTGATGTTACTGTATAATAACATTTTGCAAAGTTATATATCACAAATATGTATTTTTAAAAGCATATGTTTTTTGTAAGCAGTACAAAGAAGTCCAACATGTGCTTCTTAACTAGATCTGTACATTATGTCAGATATTTTTTATATATTGTATGTCGACGCTACCTACTGCTGAGTAAAAACAAAATACTGACTTTATCAAGAGTTTTACAGAATTTAACTCAAATTATTCTGCAAATGTGGTTTGAGTTGTTTTGTTTGTGAAAAGTGGAACTGTTCTGTCTGGAGGAATATAGATAAAAAAAACAGAGGGAAGTGAAACTATTTCAGGAAAGTCAGGAATAGTCATGACTGTGTTTTTATAGAAGTTCAGCTAACAGATGAACTGAAACTGTACCAAAAGTCTTATGCTTTTCTATGGAAAACACACTTTGGTTTTAAGATACATTTTTTTTAGCTTGGCTCTTTAAATTGTGCTTTAAAGAATTTCAGTTATTATTTATTTCAGTCTAGACAGATGTAAATACTGGAAGTGGGATGGTCTGATGAACACCATCCACCCCTAGCAACAAGCTCATAAAGCAGTGGTGGAGAATTCAATGTGCAGAGTACTTACTCATCACTGGGAGATGAAGGAGGCTGTTTATCTCAAACATATTTATGTTCTTTCTACAGCACCGTGCTGGTGCATTGTGCAGTTTGAAATTACAATACCTAACAAAGTTAAAGCTCCCTTTTATTTCTGTAACTTCTTCAATCAACAAATTATATGATGTGAATGTAAAATAAAGTATTTAAACTCTTTATTTCTGCATATTTTATTATAGATATGATTTTTTTGCTGAATGATCACTTTTAATTTATTCTTTGACCAGGAATCTGTATTTTAGTTTGATTTTAATTACACTAGTTGTTTTGGTTAAATCCCTTGAAATGTTGACTTCAGCCACTTGTTTTTCATGATGAAGGTCAATCATACACTGACCAGTCAACCAACAGCTTTTCTTTATGGCTCAGCTATTCAGAATGACAGACCAAATCAACACCTGTATTACTGCAGATAAAATGCATCCAACAACTCCAACTGTGACCTCTGACTGGGGATACGGCTGCCATTTTCCTTTTTCCAGTTGTCACATTGTTTGCCGAATTCCTTATGTACAAACAAAAGGCATAAAACTGAAAGCAGTTCAGACTAGAGCTACATTCGCCTGTTTGCTTTCAAAAACACACACTGAAGTGCACTTCGGTTGGTAACATAGAATCAAGGCTCTTCCCCTAAGGCACATGAGAGAGTCCTGTCACAGCAGGAAACTGAAATTGAACTCTACATTCTTCTAATTGAAGGAGTCATTGAGCCACAGTTGACCCAGTTAACATTAGTAATTAATTTTATCTATTTTCAAAATAATAAAAGTAGCTGTTTTTGCACTTTGAATTAAATATACTTTTCATATTATTTTTGCAAAAATTGACAAATGGAGAAAAAGTTTGAGAGTTTGACTTACTAACTTACTGCAGTGCATTATATTTGGACGCTTCCAGTTAATGAGAAAATGCTTATTTTAGACATTAGAAACTTGGTGCAAAAGACTTGAATGAATCTTATAATTACTTGAATCTTTCCCCAGACTTTGGAAAAATGACTTTACGGCATCATTAACCCGCATGTTGGCCAATAGCACCTAACAACCAGTGGGACCTTTCTTCAGGCAAGTCACCACAAGACAGATTTCTTTAAAATTCCACGTCACTGAGAGGAAAACTCACCCAGAGTGATTCAGAGTCACCAGCAGAAGATTCAGCTGCAGTTCATTTCACAGGTGCATTACTTTGGCTTAAAACAAGAGATTCTACTACAAGAGAGGTTCACAGGTATGGTTAACTTCATTCTAAACTTAAACTAGTTTTTGCTTTTTGTTGGGGCAGATGAAGCGTGATAATGGAATTGTCTAGAAATCTATGCTTTCAAAGTACAGTCTCCATATACATGTGTATGTACTATATATATATATCTGTTTCACAGTTTTAAGATCAAAAGATCAGCATTTACATAAAAAAGTTTGATCTACGCACGTAAAAATAGATATCGATCTTTGTTGGTTTTTATACCTTTTACAAGCTGTTTTTTAATGCTTGTTTTTCTGTGTGCATTTCATTTGGGGGAATTGTATAAAATGCGACTTGATGGTTGAACAATGTAAACGACATTAAAATACAAGTAATGAAACATTTAATTATATGGCATGTAAACAGTGTTGATGTAGTATCTTACTACAAGGTTTCATATTTCTAAGACCAGGAGTGAGTGAGGCTGTGTGTGTGGAGCTCACCGTCCCAGGCAGGTAAAAACAAGAACAAAAATGTTACTCCTTTTTCAGTATGTTATTCTAGTCACAATCTGGAAGCCTATTTTATAACTTTTGGACCTGCATAAGGTCTTTTTCACGTTTCTTGTCAGACATAACAGACTGACTGACTATTTGCGCCTCTGGAACTCCCCCCGAGTTTCCTGGAAAAGTCAACAGTAGGAAAGACATAAAAAACTGCAGTGATTCATTTTAACTGGAACCCAACATGGACACAGTATGTGGGTTATGCAGTTTTGACATGTGAACAGCTACCTGTCCATAAATGTTGTGTAGTACTTGCTTTCTGACATACAGCTTTGAATTTTTTGCATAATAACACATTGTGTCCTGTGTGTCTCTGTGTTGCCCTGTGATTGACCCTACCTTAAAACTAATGGATGGAAAGTGGCTTGTGCACCTCAAGGAAAACTTTTAAATGCTTTTAAGACAAAGACTCCAAATTATATATATTCTCTTTTCATACACAGTGATAAAATGTTTGAATATGTTGTGTTCTCTGTTTCCCAGCAGCATAATGTTTGCCAGCACCTCACTGCCTCCCAGCAGTAAAGATAATCACAACAATGTGGATGCTGAAGCCATCATGGAAAACATCAACACCGTCCTCCTTACACTGACCGTTGTGTTTGGGCTCACAGGGAACTCTGTGGTGATCTGGGTTGCAGGATTCAAGCTCAAGGTAAAATACATCAACATGCATTTAGGTTTGTCATTTTCATCATGTTCCTTAATGTATTTCAGGGCTGACTGGGTCAAATGTGCAGAAAACAGATTGTGGGATATCATTTATTGAACATGAGTGATGAACTGAGATATATCTAATTGATAAATAAACACTACTAAAAAGTTTTGTTAGTTTTCTCTTTGTCTCTTTTTGGATTGTATGACAAGACAAATACAGAGATTTTTTTTTTTTTTTTTTTTCACAAAATGGTGCCTAATGGGTATACTGGTTCACTTTTAATATTTTTTTTTCTCTTCTGTTCTCTCCATTTTATTTCTCTTTCTGGTTTTAAAATGCAGCAGAAGGTTACCAACGTGTGGCTGGTGAATCTGGCAATAGCCGACCTCATCTTCTGCGTCACACGAGTTTTCTCCCTGATCAAGAAGCTCTTCTTCGACCACTGGCCCTTTGGAGAATATTTCTGCAGGTTTCACGGCTTCTTTAAATACGCCAACATGTTTTGCTCTGTCTTCTTGTTGGCTGTGATCAGTTTGGACAGGATGGTCGGTGTGTGGAGGCCTTTCTTCACAAAGCAACGGCGTACCCTGTATGCTGCGAGAGTGGTGGCAGTTTGTGTCTGGTTCACAGCCATCCTCTTCAGTAGTCCCTACTTGTTCTACCGTCAAGTCAACATGGGAGAGAACAACATGAGCAAATGTTCTTTTGAGGTGAAGGAGTCGGAGGGGGGAGGCAGCAGCCTCAGACATGCTCTGTATTTAAACAGGTTCCTGTGTGGCTTCGTTTTCCCCTTCATGGTCATCCTTATCTGCTACATCATGGCTGCCATCGGCATCCGACGCACTCGCCTTGTAGGAAAGACACGCCCCCTGCGTATCCTGGCATTGCTGGTCATTGCGTTCTTCTTGTGCTGGGGTCCTTACCACTGTCTGCTCCTTGTGAAGATGGTGGATAAAAAGAATGCAGTGCTGAAAATCTGGCATCCTTTGGCCAATGGCTTTGCCTACTTTAACAGCTGCGTGAACCCGCTGCTGTACTTCTTCATGGGACTGGATTTTAAGCCCGAACTGAGATGGAGTCTAACAGGAATTTGTAAGAAAGCTCTGACTGATACTGATACTGAAGAACAGGTGAACCAATCAGATGACTGAAAAAGCAGTGCATCAAAATAAAACTTTGTTTGGAGAAAAAACACAAGTCAAAGTGATTCTCATTGGTCGCTAGGCTTAGGCTTCCTGAAAATATTGCATACATTCCAAATCCTTGTGAGATGGAGTTGTACAACATATTCAATTCAACTAAATACTCTGCTCAGCATCTTACTGTTCACCAAAACATATACTTCAAGTTGCTTTTTTTGTGCTTGTGATTTACAATGATGGGAGAAAGTCTGTTGATGAAAGAATGAAAAAGCAGAGGGAAGTGAAAGTTTTCATGGAAGTCCAGTACTATTTATGATTCAGTATGTTCTGACAAAGGTCAAGAGGAGCAGATAAAAGGAAGTTCTAAGGAAAGTGAACTGCTTTTTTTTCTTAAGTGTTTTTATAAGATTTGGTTTCATTCGGTGAGCCTTGAAATGTTGAAATGATGCAACTGCTGTTTGTGTCACCATGCAGAATGACTTCTGATCATGTTATGCTGCAGCAGAATACTGATAGTTTGTGAAACAGTAGAATGTGTAACTTAAAGCATTGTTTTGTTAGTTTCTGTAATTTGTTCAGACAAATAACTACATTATTTTGTAAATACAAAAAAAAGTGACTTGAATTGTCTATTTCTGCCAATTTTACTGTAAACATGATTTTAAAAAAATGCTGTCCACATAGCCTTTTTTTTCCAGATAAAAATCATTGCAAAGGTTAAGTAAATTTTTTGGTGAATTTGAAAAGGTCATCCATGCCTTCATCCCAACTATATTTTTTATTTTGGCATTGTCACTGATTGGCCAACTGCAGCTGAAAACAAGGAGGCTCTTATTGCTGTAGGGCTGTCAGATTCTGTCTTAAATTAACTTGGATGATGAATGTTTTGCTTCCAGGCCTCGGCAGAGATGAACGACTCCTGATGAGGTCATTCAGTTATTAGTTTTTTGTTCATGTTGGAGAAGGAATGCACCTAAAAGTTGTAGCACAGTAGTTCCCAAAAACCTGAGGTAGAGGTCCATAACAAACACTAAGGAACTGTTGTGAAATCTGCCTTCTGCTCTGAAATACAAAGCAATTGATTCTCATGAAGAATGTGTTGGCTTACACAAACTGTGCCAGCACAAGACAATGGAACAGTTGACAGAAGAGGTGTTGAAATCGTACTGCGTTGAATTTACATTCTTTCAGTGATTTTATTCCAAACCTTCTCAAGACGCATATATTTCTTGGAATACAGTCATGTGCATGTTCATGCAGCCACAGACAAGGCAGATAAAATCACAGCAGTTGGCTTCAGTTTACTCATGAGAAATTTTATTTTCCTTCTTTTACGTGCAAGAAGGAATTTATGTGTCACTGAAAAAAAAACTACCTTGTCCAGCAGATTCATGCACATAAATCTCACCATGACATTCCAATAACTAGGAACTGTGATGACTTATTGACTTATCTTTGTTTTCCGTTTCAAAGAAACCCGACAATGTGCATCAATGCTTTTGCCACTGCAGGGAGGTGGATGTATCATAGACTTTCTTCAATGGGCAGAAACTGAGATCTTTTTGTTTTTCTCATGAGACGTCAAATAAAAACCACATGTAGCAGAATTTATTCAAGTTAAGTAAATGCATTAATTATATTTGTAAACATTTACCACATAGTGAAAGCTTAAAAAGTCTCTGAAGTTTTTTGGTTCAATAAATTGTGTTGGTTCAAACAAAGTCCTCTTGAATGTCCAGGTTTGATTTGTAGAACTCGGACTCCCAGTCTTGTGATGACAGGTTTTCCTGGGACACGTAGCTTAGGTCTGTATTGTAGGCCGACTCATCATTTGAATCTGCAATAGAGTCCACCTGCAGAAAGAGTAATAAGTTGTTACTTGATAAAAATGCAGCCAGAACAATATGATTTTAATAATGGTACAATATGTGAGTTCAGATTCATGTCCAAACCTTTATTAATCTTTGCAGCATTTTTTTTACAGTAACTCTCAACACAAGCAACTACTAATCATTAATAGTGAAAGTGTTAATACCATTAAATAGATACCAGTTGTGGTGTTAAAACTGGTGATAGTCCATGTAAGAAATAAAAACAGTAAGTAAGAATACATAGCATCAACAGAAACAGTCGGTACCTCATTATCTGCACATTTCTGTTGTTTGGGCTCTGTTTGCAGAAACGCTATGTAATGAATGAGGGTGGAGATTCTAAAACAATAAAAACAATGGTGTCACATTTTCAACCACAAGCATTAAAAACATTGTGGAGAAGATGGCATTTGAAATGAGGGTTCACGTGTGGTGCAGCATGCCAACAAACTGAAGCAAAACTGAAATACCAAATCCCAGAATGAACATGAGGCTCATGGGTTCGATTTGGATCGTCACCCCGGTTTCCTGCTGGTAGAAGTCGATAATATTGATCTTGAGGGAGAAGACGTCAACGCCCTGGAAGACGAACGTTGCCATCAGCCACAGGGCATTCAAGAAGAAGAAGGAAAAGTTGACCTATGTTGGGACAGAAATCCAAAGAAAGTGAAGTTTACTGCATCATTTCATCATTTCAGTTATTCCAGTTTACCTTGCTTCTCAGCTCTTGTAAGTCATTTTTCGTCTTTTCTTGCTTTTCCTTGTCATTTTTCACAGGTTCGAGGTATTTCTTGATGAGCTCATTCCAGAAGTTTTCCTCATCCTGAAATGATCACAAAAGTAACCAAAATAAAACAATAGATAAGGAAAATGAGAGGAAGTCAAAGAGCATTTATAAATAAATGTTTGTCATTTTAACAAATGTATTCAAGGGGGGGGGGAAATCCTGCTGCCACACTTTTTTGACACTCTCACTGATGTTGTGTTGAAACCACAACAGACTTCTGTACCATTTAAAAAAATGTTCATAAGGAGGAAATAACCTTTGACCATCTTTCTTTGCACAATCTCTCTTGGTCATCCAGAGTCCTGGGTCACCTCATGAGCTGTCTTCTCTCCAGATCAGCTAACAGGTTTTCTATAGTAAATATGCATAAAATGTGTTTAATTTTGTAAATGTTGGGGTGGGAGAAGTGGCTGGTTGACCTTTCATGACCTCTGTTAACGACACAAAGAAAGATTTTTGCTGCACAAATCAGCACAAACAACTGACACCAAATTAATTTTATTTGAAGAAGGTGTTGGGGGCCAATTTCATATTTTGGAGAAGGAGCAAAAATACAGAAACTCTAAATGTGCAATTGTTAAGTGGGCAGCAGCACAATCTAGTTTAAGATATTTGTAAACCACTTTTTGAATCGTAAAATCAGGTCTTTAAATAGTGACAGCTCCATTTAAGATAAAAAACAAACAAACAAACAAACAAAACAAAAAACACATTTGCACCTTGTCCAGAAACTGTTCCTGCAGCTGTATGTCATTGGACAAACTTTCCAGTTCATTTATCCAACCTGAAGAACAGAACACAAAAGAATATTTCAAAACTTGCCAAGTTCTGGGATAAAATACATAAATTCCTCTGAACTCACATTTTGCCAGACAGTCAAAACCAGTCTTCACTTGCCTAAAACAAATTCAGAAAAAAGTGGTAATATCTATTTATATGATTGAAACTTTGTAGTTATTTCAACCTGTGTTTAGAACCTACATTTGTTCCTTTTCGGAGACGTCGTTAGCAGCAGGGTCTTGGGTTTGAGGTTCAGGCACCAAATTCTCCTGAGGCAGGGCAGTCATCAGAGGCTGGGTGTCTTCTGATATCGGATGTGATTTTTTACAACATTTCATCCTTGAACAGAGTCGCTGGAAGATGTCCGTAGCTGCCAGGGTAAAACTTTTAGATTTGCTGGGAAAAAACAGCATTATGTAGCACTACCTTTTTCTGTCCTACCTTTTTTTGTTTTTGCTTGGACGGCGGAGACTGCTGTCACTGCAGCCCCTGGAGTCGGTTTTGATTCTCTGGTTCCCCATGAGACACTGTTCATGTTGACCATGGAGTAGATGGTGAGCAGGAGGTAGGCACTTGGGATGCAGATGATGTAGAGTAAGCCATAAAACACTAAAGGAAGTTCCTGGGGATGCATCAGTGCGGTCACAATGTAAATGATTGACATGGCCACGGTGAAAATGCTGCTGGGTGTCAGAATGGTCTTCTCCTTAATTATTGAGGCTGGTGCAAAAGATAACACATATTAAAAAAATAGCAACATGATTTCAATACATTAGTTAGAAATGTAATTTATATTTACCAATAATGGATATTGCCACCACCACCATGAGGAATGCATATGCAACACTAAGAATCCCTGCAATAGTGATCTGAGTGTCTGCTTTGAGTTTAAAGCAAAGACCCAAGTAAACGGCAGGAGGTATCACAGCTATGATCAGAGCCACAGGAGAAGGTATTTCCAAGATGAAGGACAAACTACCTGGAGGAAAACACAGGCTGGAACATTTTTGTGTAACTGCTCTCACCTTTGAACATCTGATTTGCATTTATTTTTGTCATTTTTACATTCAAAGACACACAGACAGATGCTGACCTGCAACCATGAGGCAGATGGTGGATGGAGCAAGAATGGCAGAGATCATGCCGAACAGCTGGTAGAACATGAACAGTTTGGACATGGATAAGTTCCGTTTGGAGACAATGTTGGTTGAGCCCAGCAGATCCACAACGTTTGCCATTGTGGAAGGCCCCCATCGTTTCCGCTAAAAAATAACAACAAGAACCAGAACTCAGACCTTCTGGAGATCCGTCACTCCTCTCACAAATACTCCCCAACACTAGAAGACAAAGTCATTTTCAAGGCAGAAGTGAGCCTGCAACAATCTGAATAAAAAAATATATATATATTCAGATGGCATCAATCACAAAAAAAACTACTTAGAGAGATGATTAATGTATATTATGAGGGTGGTGGTAGCACTTCGGGTGATCAGGCTTCATTATTTTGCTGTTACAATTTTGGTAAAAATGCTTTTTTCCCTTATTGAGTTCACCTGGTTATAAAGCTCCTTGAAGCTTTCTGGTGCGTTGGTGTAGGCATCAGATGCTGCATTGTATTCCACTCTCCAGCCTTGTTTCAGCAGCAGAGTGCACAGCCAGCGGTCCTCACCTGCAATTAAAAGAAAACTAATGTAAGACAACCAATGAAAGGCATCTAACACAAATCCAGAACTATCAGGGAGAATGTACATACTTTGGTGAATGTTATCATTATGTAATGGAGGTTTATCTAAACCAAGGTTTAATTATTAACTTCAGAAGATTGAAAATTGATTTTCATACAGCTCCTATTACCTTGGTCATACTGGATGTAGTGACTGGGCTCTGTGGATTTGGTTGAATATTTCTTCATCACGTTATCATCCATTAGCGCCTCTGCTCTGAACAGACTGAAGCAACCAGGGCTGCACAGTACACAGCCAAAGACATGCTCAGCTGTCTTCTGCAGCCAGTGACTGATAGCGTACTCAAACTTCTGGAACCAAACAGCAGGACCTGCAGGACAAATGCAGAGGTGTTCAATTCTTTCCCTGTGGCTCTGTGTGCCACAGATGAAAAATTCTACATTTTCATTTGTGCCAACCTGATCCAGTGGGGTGAATTCTGCCACATGCTGCACCAACACGGGGATACATTTTCAAACGATCGATAAGCAGCATCACAGCCGCTGGTTGGAAGTCTGTGTCCCCATCCAAAGCCAAGAGATACGTGTTGTGCTTCTCTTTCTGAAAGAAGCAAATGTACAGTTTCTCAACTCGTTGTGTGATGGTTTGTATTAATGTATGCATTAAAGTTTGAGAAAGTCAAAAATATTCAGAACAAATGCATTATCTCACCTGGATCTCTCTCCTAAGATGCTTTTCATCTTGTCCTTCCTGCCAGTATCTGTAATACTTGGTCATCAGTTTCCAACCCAGGAGATAATAAAGATACATCACCTGTAAATTACTAAAGATCGGTTAGCAAAGCAAGTGTTTCCTGCTGAGACACTGATGTCATCAGTGAGATATTCTCTACCTGAGACCATCTCTTCTTGATCCGAATTTTCTCTTTGTCTTTGAAGTGAACTACAATGTTATTCCCATGAGGCATTTCAACAACAAGACGAGCTCCATAAGGTGTCTTTATGATTGCCTGATCAGGAATTTGCTGTTGTACATCAAAGAATGTTTTATCAAGGTTCTTGAAAATTCTGGTGACAAAGAATGAATTACATCAAAATTGAAATAATTCATATTGAAAATGTGTCTCTGGTCATAAATCCAGTTTTGACACCAGAGAAATGCAACATCATATCATCTTTCAACTTGGTCCTTACCCATAAACATCTGCAATAATTTTCACAAGTTCTTTTGCATATGTGTTCAGATGACGGTGCTGACTTCCTGTCACATTTGTGAAGGCATCATCAAAGTAGATATGGGCTTCAAAGGTGAAATCATCAAACTGCGACTGCGTCAAACTCTTTGGTCTGTATTGGTCCAGTCTTTAGTGATGAAACACATGAAGAGAACAAGTAAAAAAGTCCATTATTATAAAAGTAAGAAGGAGGATATTAAGAGCATATCCTTCTGGTAGAACAAATTACTAATTAATAAGCATAGTTTACTTGAAATTAATTAATATATCCTATAGATTTAAAAAGACAAACGCTGGAAATCAGCTCACATGACATCAACGATCTTTCCTTATCGCAATTTTGACTCACTCTTAGTCTGACCCCTAGTGTTCACATATATATAAACCTCAGGCAAAGCTAGGAGAAATTGATCACTGATAGAGAGATCCTGAAATTACTTCCCATAATGTTGCTTGATTAGTCCGATAAGGATCTGTAACTCCTCTTGTGGATTTTAGCTGTATTCTGACAAATCTGAATCAAAAAGCTGAGTTACCTCCTCAGCATACAAACAAGTTCTAGAGTCATAATGATATAGTTATTTGATTCATTGGTGTTGAAAGAGAGACATATCTAGAAGACTGAAAAGCAAGGTCAAAAACATGTCAATGTAACTCACCTAAAAACTGAGATCGTGATGTTCATCATCTCCTCATAGGTCTCATGCCACATGGTTGCACAGAGATAAACCATGGCAGGGGTGGTGTCTTCTCTAAAATTTGATACATTTACATGTTTAAAACTATCTTCTGTCCAAGTAGCTTCAATTTCACAAGAACTGTGTACCATTTGCAAAAACCTAAAACTAATGCTTAGAAGACAATTCAAAGAAACAAAAGTTGCATCACAAACAAAAACACAAAACTCACCGTTTCCTTTGGTTTTTACGCTGAATGTGGAAGCGTGTGTTGAGTAGTAAGGATTGCTCAATGAGGGCTCCCTCGTAGACCCTCACAAACAGGTCTTGAGTCTTCTGGATGCGGCAGGTGTTTAGGTGCCAAATATGGATGGTGGCCAACACAAAACCAATCCACCATAATACTCCTGCACCTGATAGGAGAACAAGACAACCTCTGGAAATCTGAGAAACCAGTATAAACCAAGTATAGCACTAAATACCAAGACTAAATTTAATACAACACAAAGCAGAGTGGCTGATAGATGTGAAAAAGGAATTTGACTCTGGAAAAATATATATTCTGGCTCAATGCAGATTTTATGTATCGTGGACCAGTGTACTGACTTTCGACTTAACTGAGACCTGGACTAAATCAAATACATAAAAAAATTCATTCAACAATTTACTTGGAGTAAATAAGCAAGAAACTCTTACCTGTCAATAGGCCAAAATCAGATGTCATGAACATGTCCAGGGAGCAGAGAGTTTGGGCAACATCCAAAACCAGATGTGGGAACAGGTCACCACTCAGACTTTGATTTCTTATATTCACAGCTTCAGCGCAGTAACTTGTGAAGTTGATGTTTGATTTGTAGATTTTGTAATCAATAATGACAGGAGCAATAAACAGCGGTATCACAGCCAGTGAAGCCAGGTACAAAGGCAGGATGAAGCATCGGCGGACAGCATGCATCTTACAGGCTGCCAAAGCAAACCAATGGCAGAGTGCAGAGGAGATCAGCTGGACCCCGATGATGATGGCTACTATCCTTGTTTCCCTGCTTGGAATGGAGGTCACAATGTCCCAGTCCAGCTTGGCCAGAGGAACATAGGCACCAAGCACACAGGCAGTGACCACAATCCTCAGTACGCTGGACATGATGTGCAGCATGTTCTGACACTTGCTCAAGTCTTCAAACAGATTTTTGAGGACGTTGGATTTTCTCTTCACACAGATCACCCTGAAGTAATTCTCCCACCAGTTGAAAGATACCAAGATTGACCCACCAACAGCAAGACCCACCCAGATGGCTGTCTTCACATCGGCAGAGTCTTTCAAAATGTACAGGACCACGAACAAACAGTAACCAACAACCATAACCACAGAGGCCATGATGGAAGGCAGCAGGAAGATGTTCATCTTTTTGACTGTGCACTGAGTGACTGCTTGCAGGAATCCAGAGAGGACAGCTACACTGTTTAGGATGGTCACATTGGTCACAATGTCCAGGTGTGGCATTGCTACAATGGTAAGCACTGCTAACCCCACAGAAACAAGGAACTCGAAGAACAAAACCTGTAGAGAAAAGAATGGACAAATGAATTCAACTAAATAACAAAAACAAAACATTTGTTTTTGGCATCAGCTGGAGATCAAATCCACTTGTCTTACCAGGGCTGCAGATGCTTTTCTTGGCAACTTTGATGATTTGTAACATGCTTTCCAGAAGCTTTTGAGCAGCAGAAGAACATGAGGTGCAATGACAGAGCAGCCAATGCACAGTAGTGTGACAGGTTTCTGCTCAGCTTGGATTGTCTTTGTATTTTCATGGGATAAAATGATGAGGAGAAGGAAAGAAGCCTGGAAAATTAAACAAATCATGTAAAACCACTGGTACCGCAAATGTTGAGAATTTCTCTTCAAAACCAAGTTAAACAGTAAAAAATGTAATGTAAAATTTTACTAAATATATTTTATTTCACTTGTATTCTTAGGTTGAAGTGGGATCAATGAATGTATTATGTTCTATAGAAATGGCCTCAAACATATTACAGGCTTTTACATGGTCTTTTCTACTTTCAGGTTTTTAAAAGTATTTGTTTCATCTGTTTAACATAAAAAGTCATGTAGAAATAGTTTACCTTACTGCATGTTGCCAGTCCAAAGATAATGGTAGCTACTGCAAACAAAGAGATGATATTTACAAGCTTAAGCAGCTTCCAGGGTGTGTGCTCGTCTTCAATGATAGGGACCTCCCGACAGGTGTCCCAAGGCCTTCTAGCACAAAAATCCACAGTTTGGGGGAGGAGGATGGTTAAAAGAAGGAATTATTTAGGATCAAACTGTTCTTTATGGATTAACATTTCTGCTCTTGCAAGTTTAGATAAACCTTTAACCTGGGATTTAAATTATTATTAACATGGAGGTTATTGAGGTCAGTTTTCTTCCTTTTTCACAGTGGAATTTAATAAATACTTATTGAAGACTCTTAATGTTTTATCTTGCTAAAACTCAAATCAACTTTTAATAATGCATTACTTACTTGAGCTCTCTTCTCTTGTTGTCCTCCTCCATCGTAGGTCCAGTTATGCTCTCTGATTTTCTCTCTCATCCTTATAATCTTTTACCTGCATGATTCATGAGCCCTTCAGTCCTAACCCTAACCCCTCCCCCCTGGTGCCTGCAGACACGTAGCAGGCAGGTTGCCAACTTTGGTCAAAGAAATTACAAAAAGCAAACAATGTTGTCATTAGATATCATAAACCAGATTAAAATCAGGTATTGGTTTTAAAGTAGGTCTTGTTACATCACAAGACATTATCACAACTATAAAAAAAACCCTGCTCTTAGGGTTATGTCAGGTTTAATCAAAATCTATTATTGATTGCCAACATAAACTAATCAACTAATATTGATGTTTTTCAGTTGCTTTGTCAAAATTGCTAAAATTCAATATACTTGTGAGCCAATCAGATTTCTGCACCAGTAATGATTGTTGTAATTTTTAAGAAATGAATTACTATGAGTCTGAACTTAGACTGTTTCCTGCCTGGAAGTTATATAACAGAATGAAATGCAAAAACCTGCAAACGTAATTTTGAAGGTTGTCACACAAAGTAGATGAAGAAATGAAATATATGAAATCCAAAAAGTCTAATGGCAGAATCAGTTTATGAGTTGAGTTCTGTGAGTTGTATCTTACAGAAAGAGAAACTATGATGCAGGAGGAGAAAAGCTTTGACAGGTAGGTCAAGTAGGTTACACCTTGGAAATAAAGAATAACTAATATATTAATGAAAATAAATAATAACAGGTGTGAACAATTTACAGACCATGAGTGTTTCAGTTTTATTTATTTCTTATTGTGCAACAAAAACACTTTAGAATCAATACATAGACTCAATGACTTTGAATATTCTTTCAATATCTTTATTATAATCTCGTAAGTCCCTTTACTGGTGTGTCACAACTCAAGTGCTGAGAAAGAGACAAAGAGCTGAAATGAAAAACAAAGAAAATGATTTGCCTTGTTAAGGGTTAGTTTCTATGCATACCTTTGTACAGCTGAATTATATTGTATTTGCATAGTTGTGCTCTGTCAAGTAGTTTTTTTGTTTGTTTTGTTTTTCATTTTTCAGGTCATCATCCAAACCACCTTAAAACATCATAGTTTCAGTTTGAGGATCAATGCCTACCAGTACCAGCATAGTCAATGTTTGACAACATTATGTCATTCTTCATTCAGAAGGGAGAGAAATGTTTGCCATGCCAAAGGAGGGGTTCAAAAGAAAATGTTTCCGTCTTCCTCCTTTCTACAAGCTCTCACGAATCTCTCATGCAGAAATCGTTTTAGTATTTCCTGCTTATGAAAATTGAATATGTTACCATGGTGTAGATATATAGTTAAAGGTCCGAAATGTACTTTTACCCCTCTTTAATGCTGAACTGTTTATGCTTCTCTTTTCCAGGGTAAAATCACAATGCGTCAAATTATTTAAAAACAATCAAATCTGAATCCTGTGCACAGAATGGATTTACATTATATATAAGCTGAGTGCTGTGTCTTACTGGTTATTTCTCTTTTGCAGCAATTCTTCTACGCTCTGATGCTTGGACCATTGTTTTTTCTGTCCACTTAAGTCACATGTGTAAAACTGTCAAACTCCAGTCCTGAAGGGCCACTGCCCTACAACTTTTAGATGTGCCTCTGCTGCGTCATACCTGAATGGTAATGGACTGAACTTATATAGCGCTTTTTCCAATCATTTTGACCACTCAAAGCTCTTTACACTAGAGTCACATTCACCCATTCGCACTCACAAATGCTCACACATTGATACACCGATACGCAGATCGGTAGGCAATTTGGGGTTAGGTGCCTTGCCCAGGGGCACATCAACACATGCAGGAGGAAGCTGGAATCAAATCTACAACCTTCCGATCACAAGATGACTACTCTTCCCAGTCGCCCCTTAATTATTCTGAATAGAATAAATTAGGTCATCAGCAAGGCACTGGAGAACTTGTCTACACAAGAAGGAGGAAAGTACACCTTTTCATTCGAGTGTTTTATACCTGTGGCACACCTAGAAACACCAGAACAGCGGAGGACTGGAGTTTGACACCCATGACTTAAGTCAAACTGCATCATGGGACAATTTGACTGCTCATTTAGTTACCTGTCTCTGATTTTCCCATGATATGAAACCTGGTCTTTATTTTGGAGATGGTACATAAAATGCCCAAAGCTCAGGTAAATATTGCTTGCTTGGCTCAGACAGCAACTGACCACATGTAGCAGTGAACATGGACCCTAAACTCCTAAACGTGCTTACATTCCTGTAAACACGTTGGATGACAGGAGTTTAAGAGTTAGAAGATGAAGCTGTTAGCCTTGAAGAGAAGATTTAGCAAGTTTTTCATGGATATGACATACATAAATTCAAATTATTTTTGATTAATCAGTTACAAAAAATAATGCAGTATACTGTAGATGATCTGTGGAGTGTGGACAAGGGAAAGTATTGCTGCCATCTCAGCGACTTTGTCACTTTATTGTGCAACTTTTCAGACGCCTGGTGACTCTTCTTTTTTCAAAAAGCAACAAGAGACATGTAGCTATTTTGTTTGTTTATTTCTTTTTCTTGTTAAATAAAAAAATATTCAATTATACAAATATTTTATAATATATTAAACTTATACATTTTAAATTTTTTTAAAGAAAAACAAAGATGTTGACAAGAGGAACAGGATACACAATGTGTATACTTTCTAGATCACACAAAACAATTTGAAAAGAATAAAGATAATTTAACATTTGCATTTTTGAAAAATATTTTCTGAGTTAACATTCAAGTAGTGAGCCAACCAGATTTTACAGGTTTTTCCAAAGTAAAAACCTCCTTGAATAGCTTACAGCAGTAGTAACACTGTAGTAATATTGGACATTCAAGATTAATTCATCCTTCAGTTTTTTCCTTCAATAAACTAAATACATTAAAATTATTGAGTTTATAAAAAAAATTCTGATAAATATAATAAATCAAACATTAATCACAACATTTATGAAGCTTTCATTAATGGATTGACTAGCTTAGACAGTTTTGATTCAAAGTAAATATTGATCACTGATTCCAAGTCCCAATCTACACACGACATAAAGCATAAAAGATTTATACAAAAAAGGAACAACATTAAAAAAAAAACTGTCACAGGACATCTGTTTTTCAAAATGATAAATAGTTAAGAAGTCACAACAGTTAAATAAAATACTTCATCTTGGGGTTGCCTTCATGGTATGTGTCCTACTTTGCAGTGTCATTTAAAAAGATCTGTGCAACAGCAGAAACTAAAAGTGCTAAAAGTGTTTAGGTGCAGAAACAGTCTTGTTAAAAACCTAAGTCTCCTGAGTTCCATCCCCAATCTCCTGTAGAGAGTAGTTTTCATCCTCCCACTCACCGTCACTTAAATCAAATTCACTTTCTTCCTGTGTGACGTTGCTCATGTCAGTCACGGAGTTGACGAGTGAGCTTGAATCTGCATTGGACATGGAGGCATTCTGGAAAAGATCAAAGACACATTATTGGATAAAAATGCTGCAATGCGTTGAGCACACCTCAATCACTCCTCCAGAAGTATGGAAAATGATGGATAATATTTAACTTCACAAATATAAAAATTAAATTAAACTTTACTCCTCCTGGAGATTTATGTAAAAGCTATCAAATAAAAATCTTTCTCTTGACCAAAAATTTTAAATGGCAGCAATTCACTATTGTTAGCAACAGTCTTCAAATTATTATTTTTATTTATATGTGTGTTGACATATTTGAATGATTTTCAGTAAAATAAAGAATACTTTGTATTGTTTTATTAATTATTTACATAAACCAATAAAAAGGTACATCACATCCCATTATGGCACCAATGTCAAGACATGTAGAGTCCCAGTTACGACTCAACAGCACCACCATGTGGCGTCATTACTGCCTTTGCTCCACATAAATATCTATCTGGAGTTTGTTTTTTCTTGCAGTCTTGTTTCCCACCCTGTGAATATTTCTTACACAGGCTCTGAATGAACTGTTTTATGAAAGGTCAGTAGGGTCGAAGCCATGTGATAGTTTTTAATGACACATTGTTTTATCAACATCTATCCAGTTTTCGTATGTAGATAGATGTTGATATCTGTTGGGATTCCAATCCCGTTTAATTCCAGAATACCAGTGGAAGGTCCCAAAACATTTGGATACAGGTACTTACAGCCTGCAAAATGTCCAGCAGAGGGGGCTAGAGGCACATATGTGTTTACATCTATTGTATTGTATGTAAAATACATATAGTTCGAAGATGATTTGTATCATATTTTCTGTATGACAGACTATTTAATTTAGTTTTAAGTTGTTAAACACAGTCTATGTGTTGTCTCTGCTCTCATCTACAATCTCTTCCCACTTTAATCCACAAGAACAGGGAATAACTTTGGGAGATAGCAGAGTTGTTTAATGAAAATTTGTTGAAAAGCTGTTGTGATAATAATTTTATTAATTCTTGGCAGTTGGGATATCTATGATGATATAACATGGTAGACTTCTGACCAATCATTTGGTTTAGTTTGAATAATAAACAAAAATATTTACCTCTTTTCTTGCAGACTTTTGTTGTTTTGGCTCCGTTTCCAAAAATGCCACATAATGAATGAGTGTCATAATTCTAAAAGTGGAGAAGAGAAGTTTTGTGTTATACGCATTTTTTTGTTTGACTCTAGTTGAGAGTCAAACAAAATATAGTTGAGAAAAAAAAAATCTAATCAGTGATTACCTGTGGTACAACATCCCAATAAACTGGAGCAAAACTGACAGAGCAAAGCCCAGGATGAACATGAGGCTCATCGGCTCAACTTGGAACTGTTTACCAGTTTTGTTGAGGTTCAAGTCAACAATGTCAAACTTGAGTTGAAAGACCGCGAAGACTTGAAAGACAAAAGCTGCCACCAGCCACAGGGCATTCAGGAAGAAGAATGAAAAATTGATCTGTGTTGGGAAAGAAGTGCTAAGGTTAGCTTAAAAAATGTCAGATTTTTCAACAAATGTCAAATGTATTATATTACAG